TTGAAGCTTGGCTGACGACAAAGCTAGACTGCACGAGCAGTAACTCAAATTCTATCATAATTGAAAATTTTTGACGAAAGTTTAAATGCTTAGATGGTACTTCATAAGCTGGGCCAAATTGTACCCAAATGATTTTCTTAAATGGAAAAAAGAAAACATTGTTAATAATATAAATTAAAATGGAAAAAAAATTAGTAAGCACACTACATGCTGAATGTAATTAGAATATTAATTTAATTTATTTTCATGACGTATTAATTTTTTTCGTAAATTTTTTTTGCTTACAACATATTAAAACCAAGTATTTTATATCACTCCCATAACTGAAGAGAATATAATGATACCGCATACATCAATAGACTTGGATTATGCAATACATCAAAGAACTAGACTCTTTCGCATGCCGACAGGCGATAATGAAAAAATATAACATATTTACGAGTAATTCAAATGAACCTTTACCTTTTCTAACATAAAGGCTACCGCTACGGCGGTTCGTTCACTGTGCACTCTGTGCGTCTGTGGAACTCAGTTCCACACTCAATCCGTGCATGTCTTTTTTTTTTTATTGCCTTTGTAGGCAGACGAGCATACGGCCCACCTGATGGTGAGTGGTTACCGTCGCCCATGGACTTCAGCAATGCCAGGGGCAGAGCCAAGCCGCTGCCTACACTCACTTGAAGTCCCTCACTTGAAGTATTCAGGAAGGCGTTAAAGGAGCACTATCTATCAATTTAGTATTACATTTATGTATTTCATTATATATGTACGTTTATGTATATGTTTACGTTATTTATGTGTGTATGTATAGTTATATATGTAGTCTGATATATTATGTATTAGTGTTTTATTTTTATTTTTATTATTGTTTAGATAGTAAATTGTAAATTGATTAGATTGTATTCTTCTACCCACTCATTTAAAGCTTTCCTTCGTTAAGAACGGTTAGCTGGTAGAAAACTCAATTATTGAGTTAAGCTCGCCATTATTATATCTTATCGCAATTACTGTAATATTAACTGTGTGTACAATAAAGAATAAATAATTTATTGTATATTATAATACTATTCGAACCCAGAGACGTGACAACGCCACCACCGTTGATCTTCAGACTTGAGGTTAATTGTTCAAAGCCCCACCCTTCAAATCGGAATGTACTTATTGTACTTACCCGTGCAGATTTACTAATAGATTTACTAATTAAATTTAACCAGCACAATAAAAATCTTTTAAAAAAATCCCTTAGCACACCGTTTAAATATCAACTGTGACCGGCACGACAGAAATTAATTTATCAAACAATGCTCTAGCTCCAGTAACAAGCTCTCCGGCTAATGCTCGATGGTGGTATGGATACCAGTTCGGAAAGTTATGAACGGTAATGCCCGGGATGTTCTTTTCATTAACGAACTGTGAGTTAAGTGAAACATAGGAATCGTATTTTAGGAAAAATAGTCAAATTGAAATCTGAGTTTTTTATTTATTTTATATATTGCTTAGATGGATGGACGAGCTCACAGTCCACCTGGTGTTAAGTGGTTACTGGAGCCCATGGACATCTACAGCGTAAATGCGCCACACCCACCATGAGATATAAGTTCTAAGATCTCAGTATAGTTACAACGGCTGCTCCACCCTTCAAACCGAAACGCATTACTGCTTCACGGCAGAAACAGGCAAGGTGGTGGTACCTACCCGCGCGGACTCACAAGAGGTCCTACCACCAGTGAGCTAGTGCGAGTTTCTTAACGTTCTCGATAGCGTAAAAGTTAACCCAATTTTGTATGCAGTTGGAACAGCGTACTGTTATAGCGGGATTCGCTACGTAGATTTAAAAAAATGAAATACGAAGTTATGGAGGTCCGACGACAGTCACGCGCACTGATTTACGAGGATAGGAGAAGACTTGACCGTTCGGGTCAAGAGATTGTATCAGACTGTTCGTTTGCGGGGCGGACGGAACAGGAGAGCTCGGGAGTGCTGATCGTGCAGCTTGGTTAGGGCTGTCAGCCAAATAGTATTCATACTAGGGTTATAACAGTACGCAAACGATCCCATTCCATACAAATACGAGGTAACTTTAACGCTATCGAGAACGTTAAACAACTCGCACTAAGCACACTGTAGTGTTTTCCATTTTTTAATGTCTACACCAAGTAGTAGTGTTTTAATGGAAACTGAATTGTTTGAGTTAGCTAGAACAGTTGTAGAACGTATTTCGTAGTTCACACGGGAAGATGATTTATATACTCTTGCCTATTTTTGTCACAATGCCATTACAGACTCCGACGCTTTATCTCAAGTGTATGGAACAGAAAAGGCTGTATGGGCTTAGATCCCCTTGCCTTTCCTAATAAGGAAAAATTGTAAAAAAAAAATCAAGTGTATGGCTAGCTATATCTATGTGGTTTCTATGAACCCAGTAAACATTAAACACCAGGTGGATCGTCTCCTTGATTTTCATTTATAGAAAAAATAATGCACAAAACTCTGTGTGTTCATAAAATTTTGAGAGGAAATTTTATTTGGGAAGAAAGAATATTTAGCTAAACTCATAAATTGCCGATTTTAAGAGAGTTAGGCGGCTTAGAATGTAAATTTAATAATTTTTAAATATATTATGATTAAAATAGATAAGATGATGATAAGAAATATAATTTTTTTTCAAAACATAATATTTTATATGAAACTAATTAACACAAACCTCACATCAAATCGTTATAGCTTTGAATAAACTTTTTATCATATTTGCACACAAAAAAAAATCTGCTCGAATTAAAATTATCTCATAAAATTGCGCCAAACGAACACCGCCCAGAATAAAAATATATGTGAAAATAAGGCAAACATTAATGTTGCACAAAGCATTCCCACGTGCCCCCACAATCACCGTGTACAAAAACCGCGACGGCATTGGCCCTAATCAAGTCACCACACGCGGTCCCGGACTCCCGATTTTACGCGCAACCTCGTAAATTCTTGATTTCGCTCCCGTTCCGTTCCTCGCTCGAGTTAATTACGGAAAACGTGATCTTTCCGTCAAAGTCACGTGTGGAATTAAAACGATTATTTTTGGCGACAAAAAAAAGTTCTGATTTGTCACGCTTCCGCCGGAATTCCTGTTGGCGCGGTCCGCGATTTATTGACCTGCTTTTCATAAAAAAGTTTGTTGATATATTTTTTTATTCAGCGTCATCGTTTGCTCATATATTTATACGTTTTTTTTTGCAAAAATACATACGTATATATTTCTAATAAAACAAATCTAATCGATAATTTATCACATAAAAAAGGCAAAAATTGAAAAGCATAAGAATGTTTTGTTTTACTGATTATTCACGTTGTTTTTCAATTGAGAGCTTTCAAAAATTTTTTGTCTGTATTATTAGAATATTTTTTTAGCACCGAATGAGCGATAAAAGGGAATAAGATATTGTTATAGTCTCCTATATCCACTACACCGTACCATTGAAAAGCTTTATGTATAGCTCGTATACATGATTAAAAAAAATTGCTATGATGTAATACAAATAAGTAACATGTGACAACAAAAATTAGTTATGGAGAGGGCTATGCTCGGCATTTCTCTACGTGATCGAATCCGAAATGAGGAGATCCGTAGAAAAACGAAGGTTGCTGACATAGCCCGTAGAATTAGTGAACTGAAGTGGCAATGGGCCGGCCACATAGCACGAAGAGAGGACGGTCGATGGGGCAGAAAGATCCTGGAGTGGCGACCACGTACTGGCAAGCGCAGTGTGGGACGGCCACCTACTAGATGGANGTACTTCAACTGCACCCCGACCCCGATACGGACGCCTCCAACCACGATATGGGCATCGACAGGTGGCACTCTCCGGGGCCTGTGGAACCACATGGCCTCGGATTTACTGAGCGCCACGTCGAGGCCCAATCTCCTGATTTTGCCGACGACATGCGCCACCCCAGCGGTAGCAAGACGGGCAGACTCAGCAAAACTCCCCCCCCGGGCCCGAACGCACTCCACGCGGAGTTGCGCAATTTCGGGCGACCACCAGTACGCCTGGCGATTAGGAAGTCGAGGGCCGATCCGGGGCATCGACGCATCACAGATGCGACGCATCGTGTCCCGGAACCACCCTGCCTCTCCCTCGACCTCAACCGGGTGTGGACGCATGGGCGCCCACGCCGCCACCGTAGAGGCTTCCATCAGGAGCTCCTTATTCAGGCGCTTCAGTGCCCACTTGGGGAATAACCGGGACGCACCACGGGGGTGGTCCCCGTGGACGTCCGCGACTGCGGAGCGGGCGGAGAGATCAAACCGAATATATCGGTGATCTGACAGTGTCTCCGCCCCCTCCAAAACTCTCCAGTCGCGGATACGGCGTGCGATGGCCGGGCTTGCGAACGTAACGTCCACAATAGACTCGCCCTGCCACCGCACGCACGTCGCAACCGAACCTCTATTCAACAAACAGAGGCCGGCCGCGTTCACCCACCTCTCCAGTAGCCTACCACGAGCGTCCGAGCGGGGGGAGCCCCATGCGACAGACTTCGCATTGAGGTCCCCCGCGGGAATCACTGGGCGGGGAGCAAGGCGGCGAGCAATCGCCCCGATCCCGCCCAGGAAATGCCCGAACTCGACAGTAGGCCTGTTCGGAGAGAAGTACGCCCCGATCACGACGGTCCCTTCCAACTGCACCGCGACGAACCCTTGGCCCCTGGTCACCATCGCCAGGAGGGGGATCGCCGCGTCTCTTCTTATGACTATGGCCGCCAGGCCGTCATCGTCCCCGAACCAGCAATCATTTGCCGGGGGAACGAAGTATGGCTCGGCGACCACAGCCACATCTATGGACCACTCCGCCATGCTCTGAGACAGCATGTCCTGAGTTCTGGCGGAGTGATTCAGGTTTCCTTGGAGGAAACGATAGATGTGGTCCATTACTGTTGAACCACATCCATCGCTCCCTCCCCTTCACCGCTGCCCCCGCCCTCCGGCACCGGCGCCGCAGCGGGGATTACAACGTTGGCCAGTGCTCCTCTGACCAACTTTCTCTTCTGCCGGCGCTTTGCCTTGCGACGCCGGTTGCGTTCGGTATTATCACCGGACGGGAAGCACGCTTTGCCTCCTGCCCGATGGTTTGCCCCGCGCCCGGCTGCAGCGCACAGAGCGCAGTGCGGGGCGGCCGTGCAGGACGCCGCTTTATGACCCGGTTGGCCGCATCGGAAGCAGAGACCACTGCGNCGTCCGAGCGGGGGGAGCCCCATGCGACAGACTTCGCATTGAGGTCCCCCGCGAGAATCACTGGGCGGGGAGCAAGGCGGCGAGCAATCGCCCCGATCCCGCCCAGGAAATGCCCGAACTCGACAGTAGGCCTGTTCGGAGAGAAGTACGCCCCGATCACGACGGTCCCTTCCAACTGCACCGCGACGAACCCTTGGCCCCTGGTCACCTTCGCCAGGGGGGGGATCGCCGCGTCTCTTCTTATGACTATGGCCGCCAGGCCGTCATCGTCCCCGAACCAACAATCATTTGCCGGGGGAAGGAAGTACGGCTCGGCGACCACAGCCACATCTATGGACCACTCCGCCATGCTCTGAGACAGCATGTCCTGAGCTCTGGCGGAGTGATTCAGGTTTCCTTGGAGGAAACGATAGATGTGGTCCATTACTGTTGAACCACATCCATCGCTCCCTCCCCTTCACCGCTGCCCCCGCCCTCCGGCACCGGCGCCGCAGCGGGGATTACAACGTTGGCAAGTGCTCCTCTGGCCAACTTTCTCTTCTGCCGGCGCTTTGCCTTGCGACGCCGGTTGCGTTCGGTATTATCACCGGACGGGAAGCACGCTTTGCCTCCTGCCCGATGGTTTGCCCCGCGCCCGGCTGCAGTGCACAGAGCGCAGTGCGGGGCGGCCGTGCAGGACGCCGCTTTATGACCCGGTTGGCCGCATCGGAAGCAGAGACCACTGCGGTCAACCGAGCTGGTGCACCTGGCGAGGCCGTGTCCAGTGCTAAAGCACCGCAGGCATCTCCAGGCCCGCGGTTCTTGAAGACGCACGTGGGCCACTATCCAGCCCACTCGCAGTCTCCCTGGATCCCCCGTCGATCTTCCCGGTGGAGGAGTGGCCAATAAGGTAGCCGCCTCAACCTAACAGCGCGCCCACGCCGACCTGGCCCCGGAGTACCCTGAGCGGAGTTCACCCACGGTCACACTCTCTGGAGCACATCCACCCTGGGCGGCTATCGCGGCTGCCACCTCCTCTTTGGTGGCGCAGTCGTCCAGGCTGGTGATCCTAATCTCGGCCATCCTCACCGGCCTGTGCACGCGCACCTCTTCCTCCGGCAGCGCCACGCGGAGCGTCGCCACTAGTTTTTCTGCGATGCCAGAGCTGTCGGCACCGGGACACTCCAGCAGCTTCGCCCCATTGGCAGTCTGCCGGAAACGGAGGCCTTCTTCTGCCCCGATTTCTTTCAAATTTACAGCCGCGCGCGCCCGGGCCATCACATTATTATAGGTAAGGCCCTTTTCGGCGGCGGCCGGCAGCAATGTCACTACAACGGCAGCCGACCGCGCTGCACGCGGCTTCTTCTTCTTGCTTTTCTTCTTGCCAGCGGCCGGTGCTCGACCCTCGCGGGGAGCAGCCACGGCCGCTAGCGCTGTTTTACGGGCTGCAGCGGTCGGCGCTCGACCCCCCCGGGAGCTGCCAGAGCCGCTGTCTGTCGCCATGCCTGGGTGCCACGCCTCACCACTTCCGTCCAGCCTTCGTCCATGCTTGATGGGGGAGGAGGAAGGGGACGAGGCTGTGGTTGGGACCGTGGGGCGGGAGTCCCTCACACCCCTGTTGTTCTGGTTCCGGCCTCCACGCCGAACCACTCTCGCAGGTGGGGTAGGAGCGGAGGTCGGCCGGGCGGCCCGATCCCGCGGGCTGACCGCGGCTGTTGGCACCGGGATGCAGTCTCCGGAACGAATTGAGGAGCGGAGCATCTCCTCGAGGCCGGCAAAGTGCTTGCCGACCTCAACCGCCACCGCCCGCGAGATGCAGGCCACAATTTCCTCTCTGCTTGGGAGGCAGTCATCCACCCCCCCCATCCCAGCAGCCATATTGTTTGGCCTCTGCGACCCCGCAGCACGCGGGGGCGAAAGAGGCGGCTCCGCAATCCTAGGCCGTGGCAGCGCCGGCCACTCGTTCACCATCTTCGCAAGTGACGAACGGATGTCGCCAGCCTGCGCTGGCGCAGGCCTTACCCTTCCTCTCCGTGTGGATGCAGAGGCAGCCGGTATCGACGGAGGCGGCGCAGGCCTTAACTCAACTCTCCGTGGGGGTCGGGGGAGCACGGGAGTGAGTGCTCGCGTCACAGGGGCCACAGGGATGGGCGCTGTCATAGGCGCCGCCACACTCATCGCAGCCTGCGAGGGCACGTTAGTGTCCATCGTCCCCACGGAGGGCCCAGAGCATGCCAGCGTAGGCATTGGCGACAGGGAAGTCTCTCCCCGCGAGGCCGAGGAGTCCCCCGGGATGCGACTCTCCCTGGAGTCAAGCTGTGCGACGAGGCCTTTGTTTTCAGCCTCCCGGCTCGCCACCAAGTCATAGAGCTTGGACATGGTGGGGATCAGTCTCGTCCTTACCATAGCGGCTCCCTCCCGAAGCCTTTTCCGGTAGCTGCTGCCTGGTTGGGCGCCCATGGCAGCCACGGTTGACAGCAGTTTACCGAGATTGACCAGCGCGAGGTCGAGATCACGAAACGTCTCGTCCCCGCTAGCTAGAGACGCAACCGACGTCGACATCGACTCCACCGATGTCGCCGGTGACACGGCACCCCTCCTCCTTACTGGTGCCCGCTGGGGTGCGGGCATCGTGTCTTTCGACGCGGCAGGCCCCGAAATCACCGGAGCCACGTCCTCGATGGCCATGATCTTTTCCGGCACCTCAGTGCTGGAGGATGACGCACCGCCGTCGTCGGAAGTTACTACGGGGGTCTTCCTTCGGCCCCTCTTTTTCCCCGCCGATGGTTTGGTGGGGATGATCGCACCCGAATCACTGGCGAGCGCAAAGCGCATCGAGCCGGCGATCAGGGAGCGCGTCGGTTCGACGGGAATTCTGCTGCCCGTCGCACAGCCTCCTTCATCCTGGCAATTGTTGCCCCCCCCAGAGTACGTGGAGCAGCGTGCTTCCACCGAGGTGGAAGCACGGAGGGATTCTCCGCCCGACTCGCGGGCGGTACCCTCCTGGGGTACTAACTTTTCACAATTGGCCATTGTCATGTAGGTGTTCCTTTTTTATTAACCAGGGGTTTGGTCCTCTAGGATCTACGACACCCTCGGGACTGGAAACCCTCCAGCCATACATCCCATCGCCGGGTGTCGAGCTTGAGATTGGGGCATTTTTGAAGAGGTTTACATCCTCGCGGCTCCGACCAGTAAAGGTAGGAGCCCCCGTTCCCCATCACTGGGGTTTACGGTTTGGCCGACGGTGGCCGAAGCCTGTCCGCCGCCCACAACGCGGTGTGGAGCCACGCCGGCAAGCCGGTACCTCCCATATCTGGAAGGCTTTCCCCTGTAGCCGAAGCCGGGGACATGGCAACCCGCAGCTGGAAGACACAAAAGTGCCGCCAGCTCATCAGGCTCCCGAGAGCCAACCCCTCATCCCCTGAATGCCTCCCTTTGCCAGTGCAAAGGGCGTGGGAAGAGAGCCCCTCGCTCTCTCTCAAGGTAGCACCCGTTGAATACGGAGGCAGCCAAGGAGAGCTGGGTGCAGTTCTCTTGGTCGCGGCGTCCCACACAGATTCCTCTGCACGCGATTTTAGGGACACACGCTTAAGCCCCACCGCCACGACAAGGCGGAACTACATTCGGTGGGGAAAATTAAATGATAAAGGCAACGATTAAGAATGAATTAATCTTATTTAATCTAAAACGTCCAATCGTGTGCTGTCCGAGTGCTGTCGTCGTATAGTGTAGTGTCGTTATGGTAATTGATTCCGTTAATGAGGTTGTAATCAGTGATCGGTCGCTAACAGGCGCAGTCGCCATCATTTTTTTCAATTTATTTGAGCAGGTCTTTTATTAATTGGACAAACCGGTCCATAGTCTATCTGAGGGCGATACTGTACCATATTGACATCATAAAGTGAACCTCTCTGCCCATCTTGAGGTTGAAGTCCAGATAATGGCTGTCCTAATTTATTAAGCAAGGATCTACATTTACTTCGCCGCAGAAATACGTACAATGTGGTAGTCGTTACTCATCCATCTACGGGTTGTATCTACGTGTTAAATACGGAACGGAATATAATTTACAACAATGCCTAAAAACTACACATTTAAGTACTCTACCGACACACTTAAGCTCGAAATCCTCAAAATTAACAGCATCTCGGGCGCACCATGACCAATAGATGATAAAAATGATATGTGATTTTCTACTTGGAAAGTTCACAGCGACTTGGTTCTGCCCCTGGTATTGTTGATGTTTATTAGCGTAATCATCTTCTGCCTACATGGGCAAAAATAAAAAAATCGTTTTCAAATACACTTGGACAGCTGTTGCCCTGTCATTAACAAAGGCAATATATTGCGAACTGTACGGTGGGGTTCGGGGTAATATTATGTCATTCAATTGAAGTCCTTGCGCAAAAAGCGTAAGTAATAACTGTTAGTTAATAACTTCGATTTCATATGATGTGTTCCAGTTCGATCTAGCCTGCGAGGAGTGGAAGAGGACTTTGGTCGGAACCATCCACAGCGCTGGTGTTTTCATGGCGCTACCTATCACAGCATTCATTTCGGACAAGTAAGTTTATTTTTTAAAAGAACGTAATTTGCCTTGCTCGGTGGCATTTACCCTCAGTGGTAGATAGAGGGTGCACACTAAGCGCGAGGGGGACTGTGATCCACCCCGCCAGATCCCGGCCGTTACTCTATGAAAGAAGAAACGAACGTCGTTTCCTAATTCTATGGATATTGTTTGGTATTTGTTTACACAGCTCAGCTTTGAAAGGTTCTTAACGTGATTCATTTTAGCTACGTCATATTTCATGATCAGGGTTAAATTAAAATATGTAATATTGAAATAGACTGGGTAGTATGAGTATCCCAAATCAGTATCCCTATAGAGTTTTTAGATATATTTTTTTGGATTTGGACATGAGACATGAGATCAAAATCTTAATTGAATTGTATAACAGTTGTCACATCCTTCAAACCAGAATGTACGACTGCTTTGCGGCAGACAATATCTGTATCTTTCCCGCGGTGTGGAAAGAAGCGGACGTTATCGGCGTACATAAACCCGGTAAACCAAAAAATCATCCGACGAGCTACCGCCCGATTAGCCTCCTCATGTCTCTAGGCAAACTGTATGAGCGTCTGCTCTACAAACGCCTCAGAGACTTCGTCTCATCCAAGGGCATTCTCATCGATGAACAATTCGGATTCCGTACAAATCACTCATGCGTTCAACAGGTGCACCGCCTCACGGAGCACATTCTTGTGGGGCTTAATCGACCAAAACCGTTATACACGGGAGCTCTCTTCTTCGACGTCGCAAAAGCGTTCGACAAAGTCTGGCACAATGGTTTGATTTTCAAACTATTCAACATGGGCGTGCCGGATAGTCTCGTGCTCATCATACGGGACTTCTTGTCGAACCGCTCTTTTCGATATCGAGTCGAGGGAACCCGCTCCTCCCCACGACCTCTCACAGC